ATGGGATTAAATACTTGATTGTATAATTGTATAATGTTATTATTTCTGAGTTAATGAAATTAATTATAAACTATTATTATAAACTCTGGACTTGAAGTAATAATTAACCTGAATAATTGGAAATAATATTTAAAGCTGATGAAATTAAGAGATGATTAATTGATGAATAGTAATACTAAGGATGATGATGACTTGGAAAAGATATTGGAATAAATTAAATAAAAGGTCTGATTCCCTTTTTAAAATAATTGAATCAGTGGTGCCTTCTAAAATAATGGAACAACAGTCTTACCTTCGGAAAAGGACTATAAACTCCTTAAAAGAACCGTTAAGTCATACTCTATTAGGTAGTTCTTGAGAAAACTGGAAACCACTGGTGACAGCGTATTGTAAGTAACTAATAATCATTTATATCTTTAGTTTTACTAAAGCCTTCACTAATTTATATCTGTAAATTTAGAGGAGATATCTGGTGCAATCCGACTTTTAGCACAAGGGCCACGAGTAGTGTACAAAGTGAAAGGACTTATATTACGGATGTGATTATGCCATTACTTCGAGTTAGTTTAAGTGACTTGCCAAATGGATATATTTGTTTGAGCATGGCTGAACATCAAAGCTTAGCAAGTAAGGCACATAGAAACGATGGAACAGGTAAAGTAAAAATAGGAAAAAAGCCTGATATTATAGCTCTAGAAAGGTGTAATGGAAAGTTGGTGGAATTTTTATATGTAGAAAGTTCTCGCATTGTCTACAGTCCTACTAAAAAAACAGATAATGAGATAAAATTATGGTGAGAATTATTGGATGGAAGTTGCTATATAAGTTCTGCATGTAGACCTACTTGCAACCAATTTGGTGTGGTCGGGATCCAAGTAGCCAGTGAGAAAATATATTTAAATGCCTTTGTTAATGACGCAAGTGTGATACCAAGATACTTCCATCTAGATCATGCAGAAATTCCATTAACTTCAGAAGTAAGGTTGTGTACAAAAGCCTTAATAAGATTGTTACTGACCTTGAGAAATATTATAATTGTAAATAAGAATTTGCTTAAACAAGCAATAGAACAGGCTGTTTCACATCCACCTTGAAATACTTCCCCAAGTCCTACTGTCACAACACCACAATATGATTAATTTTGTATTTTTCTTCGTATATAGATATCATGTATTTTATCCTGTATTATTATTACATATTTTATTAATAAAGATTTTTGGTTAGAGGAACGTACAACATATCATTTGTTATTTTTTGTATAATGTATATATGATCAAGAATTTTTCACTTGTATTTTATTTTTTACTGCATCAATAATGCTGGCCCTGGTGGCTGATTTCATATAATTAATCATGAATTATTTTTCTCGTGTATATTTCGGGATTTATTTTATTAATGAATGATCGTGTTTACTTTTGTAAGTGTATTTTGCCATTATATACAATATATTAAATAAATCTATGCCATATAAAACAAAAGTTATTATCAATAATGCAATCCGAATTAAATCTATTAGAAGAGAAAGCTAAGAAAGTCAGACTAGCTGAACTTGAGGCGGAGAAAGCAGAGCTTGAGACCGAGAATGCAGGTATTAAGGCTGAGAATATAAAACTTAGGGCTGAGAATGCAAAACTTTTAAAATGAATTATAGAAGAATATGCTAAAAATGAGGCTGATATAGCTAAATTAAAAACAGGTTTGCAATATCCAATCCTTTTCGAGCGTATTAAGGCTACAATTCTTGAGCTTGAGACAAATTAAAACCGATTATAGAGGAATTTACAAAGAAATCAGAATCTAGTCACCTTGTGTCTGCCTTCAGTAAGAAAAATCGCAAATTTCAGACTAAATGCATTCAAATAGCTGAGGAAATTCTAAATGAGGAACCGATAATTGAGTATCATCCTCCCTTTTTGAATGGATTAGAATTTGATGCTTTCTTTCAAAAATATCAAATTGCATTGGAGGTGCAAGGAAGTCAGCACTGGTTTCATAACACTGGCTGGTATAAAGACATCAAAAAACTTGAGGATGTTGTAAATCGTGATCGGCTAAAAAGATGTATTTGTCAGGATAACGGAATATTTATTATAGAAGTGTGGTACGATGAAAAACCAGAAATTGTTATTCCTGAAAGGATACAAAAAATCAAGGGTTTCGTTAATCAAGCGTTTAAAATTTTCGACCTATAATCAAATAATTTATAATACATATATAAACTGCAGATAAGTGTTTAATATACTTATAATACATTATTTTTTTTTGCTTCGATATCATTTCTCCTGAATAAAAATTATGTAAAAATAGCACATCGTGCCCGAAATCTTAAGAGGCAAAGCCTCGAAATTGTGTCTTAGAATGTTTGCTAACTTTAATATGCAATTTACATTTCACAAACCCGATATGAAAATAAATGTATACTTTATTTATATGGAACACAAATTATTGCTAATTGATCGGCTCGTCAAATTTAATATAGTAATTACAGGTGATCAGATCCAAAAAATGAATTAGCGATGTGAAATAGAAAATAATACGTCATGAAATTCTTAGTAATACTGAAATATAAAATTTCTCAAGGTGCGGTTAAACTAATCACATGCTATTATTATTTATTCAAAAGAAATTGACGAATTTTGGTTAACGCAGTCAACACCGCTTTCCTTCCATTTGGGTCTGCAATATCAAGACCACTTTTCTTTTCATTTTCTCCTGGCCATCTTTTGATTTCAATTGAATTTTTTATTGGTAAACCTTTAGCAAGCTCATCCCAATATCCCGCAGGAATCTCAGCCTTGTAAAATGTAGTATAGGTAGAGATAAAACGAATAGAATATAAAACCTGGTCAGCGATCTTACCAACCCTACGTGTATTTTCACTTCCGCAGGCAAGTATTTCACCAGCAATTTGCATTTCTCCAAAATCATTTGCAGGGTCAACATTTCGTAAGGTTTTGTCCTGTCAAAAAAACTATTTAAGAAATCAAAGGTATTGACCTGCCAAACAATAAAAAAATACATACTTCTGTAATAACCATAGCTATTGTATCTTTATTAACCACAAATTCGGGAGTTGCCGAAAGATATGGCTCACCTAAGATATGTAGTTTATTTGATGGATGTTGTCTAGATTTTAAAGAAAATTTAGAAAGCTATTGGAATAAGGTAACAAGGCACAGACTTTCTCAAATTACTCACTCTATATACAAGGGATAATTATTCAGTCGAGCAATACGAAGTAAATCAGCAACCATGTCATCAGTTTTGGATTCGGCTTGATTTCTCGTGGCGATATGCAGTTTATAAAAGAATGTTTGAACGAGACTATCCGAAAAATCCCTTATTTCTCGAACTTTGAATTCTTCTTTATTAAGCATGTCTCTATTTATTTGGGGGCATTCGTACTTTTCTGGAAATTCTTCTACTTTCTCATTAGGAATAACGTGGTCTTCGGATGCTGGTTGGAATTTCACTCTTAGTGCTTCTACATCATCTTTCGTAAATTTAGATGCTCGAGTATTGATGTGATTCGGGTGATTAAGCAGGCCTCTGACTATGCTTCGGGAATCCTCAAGAGAAGAAAAAAATTTGATAAACATAGAAGATTGATTATCGAGTCAATCATGTGTAAAATGTAATTTTTTTATAGTAGCAAATTGATTCTCCGAAATCATGTGAAAATGTAATTTTTTATAATTGTAAATTGCAGTTTATGAGTTTATCGCCTTAAAAGATTCGGAGCTTGTTATTTCTCACCTTTCTTCCGGCGTGTAATGATAATAAAACATGAGTAGCATACAAGTAGAAAATTCGTTTATTATTGCACAATCGAAATGGAAAAGCGAGTTTCATGACCAAAAAACAAAAAAAAATACCTAAACGGCTTATATATATATATGAAAAATTGGGTTACACGAAAACATGTGAATTCAGGTTTTACCAGAGTCACGTAAAAAAATACTCGATTATGTATCATATAGTAAAATTTTAGGGCAACATTTTTCTTGTTTCACGTAATTGGAAAAAGATACTAAATCACTTGCCTTTTTTGGCAATGTTGAAAAACAAATTCACTAATCTGTATATCATATGTGTAACAGTTTTCATATATATACATTTCCCCACATAAACCACAGAAGGTAAAATCGTTTTTACACTTGGTCCTGCAGTAACATTAGCAAAATTTATTGCGGATATTAAAGAACAGAAACTACGTCCATTTTCTTCTTATAAATCAAAAGAACAACTAAAGGATGTACTTCGCAAATATAAGGTTAATGGTGGAGAAATTACTTGTGTCAAACAATTTAATCCAGGTAAATAGTATACATATCTTTGTCCGTGTCAGTTTTGCAAATTTCAGTCTCACAAAGCGAGGATATTCACGTATCTATATAATGATTTCTTTTTTATAGTATTCGAAGAAATTGATGACGATGACAAGGCCCTCAAACAGTGCATGAATGAAATTACGTTAAGGCTTACAAATTTGGAGACGATGCAAACCGACGCCAATGAATTTACCCGTTGTGTATTTATTACATCCATATTAAATGTTTCGCTAGCTATTGTTCGAAGACTCGCCAACGAAGAAAAAATTTATATATCATATCAGAAAGACGTTTCTGCGAGGATGCGTCTGGACGTGTCGATTATGCTATCAAAGGGAAATGTGCATAGCAGAGGGGAAACCTCGCAAAGTAGAAATTGGTTACCTCCAGAACATTATGCAACTTGAAAGTGCGTATCATACAAATAAAAAGAAACGTACTGCCGATTAAGCATTCCGAAGTGACGATTATGATTATCTTAATGGGATAGTCTCGACAGGTATTGTAATAGCGAGGTTATTATCTTAAGCACATATATTTTGTATTTGCTAACGAAAAAATTATTCTTATTTTTAGCCACAGAATGGCATTTCATCATATATACCACCGATGGTTTATATTTTACCAGTAAAAGTGATTACCAAATTAATCTTTCTAAAACAGCATTAAAAGATGATCTCGAATCAATTAGAAAAAGGTGTAAAACAGGTATTAGGTATTATTGTTGGAATTAATATCGATAATTCCCCCGCTAGTAAAAGATCCCGAATTAAAAAAATTACCAATAAATAAGCAATAGATTTTTTATTTATCCTTGTATTTTATCTGTAACAATAAAGCTGAATTCATTTGTTTCCGCATCAATTAAGCTGTTAATGGTTATATGATTTTCACAAGAAAAATTCTGGCACGGATATATATCGATAATATTTGTTGGAGACAGTAACATAGTTTCTAATTCCGATTATATTTTTCCGAAATGGTATAGCTTATTTTTTCTCCGCATATAATGTTTAGAAGATCAAGATCAGGTGTTACACGCTTATCACCCGAAGCAATTAGCGATATAATTACTAGTAAGGATACAACAAATACATTACCGATTCTAGCTAAAAAATATAATGTATCGCATGCACGGATTCGTGAAATATGGGAATTTGCTATTGCAATAAATAATTGATGTTATACAGCGATTCTTACCGATCAGGAAATTCATATGTTATTTGTGGAAAAAAAATTCAAACAATGGAGTTTACAATATGCTGATAAAATATATTAAAATAATTTCGCAAGCCCATAAAACGTTCGATCAGTAATACCGTGGAAATAGGATTTGACAATCTTTATTTTACAAATTTTAAGTGCAAGAGGGTGTTCTGAGCCAGAACGGCGTCACGTGAATGTGGCGCAGTAAATATGCATGAGCATCGAATTTTCAGATACACAATAGTTTATTAAAGTTTATTCTCAAAATCAGTATAAACGAGTTCTGGTAAAGAAAATATCAGATTAATAGAACTAGTATTTATCAGAGGGAAAATTTTCCATGATATACTTCACCTTGTTCCTAGTTAAGTCAGAAAAGCTAGATGCAGTAAACGATTTAACCCGCGAAATTTTATTCTCCCTGATAGCACTAAACACATCATAAATTTTTCTGGCAGTATTGGTCCTTTTATGTACCATAGCATTATTGAGATTTGTCGGGAGATGCTCTTTAACTTCATTGTTTAGATCAGTATATGCTGTTTGCAGAGGCTTGCTCTTTAACAACACAGTGAGGTGCTCTGATAGTGCTTTTCCAAACTGAAAATAATAATTAATTATTTTCCGATTTGTTCGATCCCCCTTCTTTTCAATGTCATCGACACTATAATATAGGCGGTAGAATTTATTAGATATATCTTCCATGTCAGATTCTTCAAAAGGTATAGTGATTGATGGTTCATCGGAAATTGGTAGGACTGACAACTCTCGAATTATGGCTTGCAGTTTTGAGATCTTTTTAGGCTTGTTTTCATGAGTATTATCTTCCTGTTTCTTCCTTTTCTTTTTGGGAGTTTCGTTAACTGAGACACCAGGTGAGATATAATATCCTTCTTTTTCTAGATCATCCGCTGATGGACATTTAGGACATAAATTATACTGTTGCCAATGCACTCGAAATAGATAACGTGTTTACATGTTAATAATACGACCAGCTTTGAACGTTCTGGAGAGATGGCTTCGGAACACTTGGAGCATATTTCAGGAGTTGGTTCAATAACATTATTATTATTATTGGGTGAAGAGTAGGCGTCTTTATTTTGTAAAGCTTGAGTAAGACCAATATCAGTGTTGCTCACGAATAATAGAAGATCTCATTCATTTCCAGACATAATGCTAGTTGGGTCCTTCTGTGGAGCTATCATAAAGATTTGTGGTGATATTTTTATTGGATCCTGTGACCCTATCTCATTAATAACCAAAGTGAGAGAGGTTTCGATATCTTTGTATCTGCACCCCATATTCGGACATCTCGCTTTCACAGTTAGCAGATGGTATTCGAGACACTTTTGATGATAGATATGTTCACAACTGGCCAAGGTAAATTCTTTGATATTACTTGCGAGATGTGGAATAAACTCTTGTCCACATAACTGGTATGGATCCAGTTTTGAGACTTCAACGTTATAATTTAGAATTCCTGGAATTGCACTGAGAACGTTTTTTGCAAATGCTATAATATAAGTTTTATCCATGCTTTGAACAATAAAAATACATATCTTTCATTATATACCTGTTTACATATCATCCGAATTATTTATGCGTCCCAACTCGAATTGGCATTACATCCGAAATGGTATAAAGATAGATAAATTTATTCATTCTTAGTGAAATTTATGATCGGTGAAAAACATGAAAATTAATAAAAAAAATACCAATGGGTGTATATGTGAGAAATCGAGTCGCACAAAAAACATGTGAATCTAACCTGTAAAGTACGTCCAAACATACGCAAGACCGAAGGGACAACCCTAAAGGGTTATAAAAAATTGGATTATCATGCTCGCAGATTATTATACGATTAACTTATGTGTCAAAGTTATAAAAATTCTTTACGTACCTTTGTACAATTATATACCTTGTTCTTATTTCGCTTCTTTTTTGGTTTAGAATGGATAGAGCTGAGGTCTTTAGACTCATGTATCTTTTTTACTGTAACAACAATATCAGAACAATTTGAATCTGATGTATCGCTACTATAATTATAATTATCTGAATACATATAATTACATTGATCAACAATAATCTCTAGCTTTTTATGAAACATACGCATTCCATATTTCAGATCTATAATACAAGCTTTGAGATATTTAAACTCATTTTTCACTTTTCGTTCTGCATGATTATTAAAATTTTCTATCATTTTGGATATTATACTAGAAATATTTTTTATTACGATTTATGTAATTATTACCTTTGTCTTTGGAGCTAACTGAAAAAATAAATATGGCAAATGGGTAGGCTGACTTGCTTTCCTACATTAGGTAAATATAATTTATTAAACGAAAAATTAGTCACATGTCATTGCTCCCTCGAGGCTTATTATATCACCTATCCAGTTCAGCCCGTTGGTAATATCGATCTTTGGCTTGCTTCATAAATGATCTATCGGGTCAATAAAGCCACTTAATTATTGCGTTTTGGATAATTTTAGCTGAATCTATTCGTCTTCGATACCATGAACGAAATATCTGCTGAATAGTTAATACTGCTTGTTTTCTGGAACACGGATAACAATATTGATGATATCTTAATTGAGTATCAACTGAAAATCTATACAAATGTCTGCATTTAATACATCGCCTGTACGGATTTTTTGGAGATATATATATTTTCTTAACATTATGATCCTTTAGGGATTGTTCAAGGAAATTTTGGCTATAGTCTGTCATTATATTGTATATATCAAACATGTGGATTTTTTTAACTTAGACTTTTTATTCACTTTATATATTTACTCAATTATTACTTAACATGTCGAGCTCTAGTAATATCGAAATTAATAAACAAATCAATGAATATAAAGAAAAGCTAGTTGCAAAAGGAATGTATGGCGATAATTTTGAGATTTTATCTCTTGGTGGATTTATTGCTAGAAAAATTTTACTTCATGAGCAGGATGTAAGTTATGCCCGTAATAATAAAATAGAGCATGTACCACATGAGGAGTTTCTTAAGCTAATTAAGCTAATAGAATTATTTTATATCCT